ATGCATTTGTAATCCCTATATTCATCTTTCCACACTTCTAATCAATGGAAAAATAATAGAACAACAGAACATCTATGACCAAATATACACAAAGTGATTTATGTTGGATTTGAGATTGAGGGTTGCGTTGATCAAAGAGAGGCCAACAACTATTTTTTAAGACAACGATGTATCTGAATCTGAGGCCAGCAACGATTTCTGAGACATCAACATCGTTATTAGGTGGTGGTATTCTGAAGTTGTTTATGTAGCGAAAGTTGAGAAGTTGAAGGTTGGTGAATAGAAGCCAGGTGATTTAGTAGAAGTTGTGCTTTCATTTCCCAAAGCAGAGATAATGACTATATCCAAAAATAGAGAAAAAATTATGCACAAAAGATACCTGATTACAATAATAAGGGTGAAATAGATGAAGGAAAACTGGAGAGAGATGATAGTAAACCAAGACGTTTTCAGAGAGTGATATTTGAAATCTTGAAAAATCAAAGGGTTACAAACAACAAGAATTGTGTGTTTCTTTTGGAGCATAAGAAATAGGTTTTTTAGGAGAATTAAACAATGGTGGGATATTTGAAAAATAATACGATACATTGCATTTGAGTTGGAAAATCAAACAACTTACCTTGAAAACAAATGAAACAATTGTAGCGATACATAATAAAGATTATTAGGGTTAATATTTTAGTACCCATTTTACTCCAAAAAAGAGTTAATTGACCAATAAAAAATAAAAATGACTTAATTGTCTTTCTTAGAGCATATTACTTTTTTAGAGCATATATATATATATATATATATATATATATATATATATATATATATATATATATATATATATATATATATATATATATATATATATATATATATATATATATATATATATATATATATATATATATATATATATATATATAACTACGGATGAAAATGGTGCTAACACCTTTCCTTTTCATAACCTACCCCCGAACTCAGAAAATTCTCAAAGGGTCTTTCGTGTTCTTTTCATCCCCGCCTTTATTGGATAAAAAGAAAAGTTGCTGGCGACTCTTGCTATCTGCAACATTTGCGATAAAACGCAAAACCTAAAAGTTAGTTCTCCCACCGTATTACAGAACCGACGACTCTGTCGGGGATTGCTAAAGTGGGGTTACCTTAGAGATATATCATATTTAAAACGCTTTACTTGCTTGATTTGTATGCTTTACATTTCGGGTTTTTGTTCGGGTTTATTTTTGTAAAGATCCTATATCCGAATCTGGGGCATCTTAGGTAAGTAGCAATAGATCGTGAAAACTGTATGGCGTATACCGATACGGTTGAAGCGATGGCTACGTTAGTGTGACACATTGATTGGTGCTAGTGTCCCTTGAGTTAAGTCAAGGAGAATGTTGGGCTGCCGCATGGTGTCATAAAGCACTAACTGACCGTAGAGCCTTAGTTGACACAACTTAGTCGTTAGAAAGTAGTGAGATGGTCGGCTTTGGTGCAGACTGAAGTTGGTTGATACTCGATGCTACACTCATTGAGATTGGACTCTTGGGATATTCGGCCGCAACTCAGATGTTTGAGCTGAAACAATGTCTGAGAAAAAGATCAGTGATTTGAGATTCTTAGAACCCGGTTACTTCTTTTAAGACAGGTTGAGCCAACTAAACTCAAGAGGGCACTTACCTATAAACTCTATACAAGCCTGAACCTAAGGCTTTGTGTATCTTGTTTGTGTTTGATTAAAATTGTCCATGACATCATTACACATATCATTTTCACTAACCATTTCAAGGACCAAGGGATTTATCTTTGTTCTTTGTTGTAGGTTATGGCATCCACTCGCATAAATACTATCCGGATCAGTTTTGTGAGGATACCTCCTCAACTTAAGGAGTTAGTCTCAAAAGTTCCTGAAAGCTCTCAATTCACCAAAAGGCATGGTAATCTACTCGGTTTGGTTACTTCGGGTTTTGAAGAAGGCATGGTGAGTGTTTTATTCCAGTTTTTTGATCCCGCACATCACTACTTCACCTTTCTAGATTATCAGCTGGTACCCATAATAGAATAATTCTCTAAGCTATTGAGAATACATGTTCCTAATCGAACACCTTTCACTGGTTGAGAGAAAGATCTATAACCTGAAGAAATTGCAGCAACCTTACATCTGAAGCGGTTTGACATTGTATCTAATTGGGAAACAAAAAGTGTAGTCAAGGTTTTTCTTGCTAAATTTCTATTAGAGAAGACTCGATTGTTTCTGGATGCTATGAGTTTTTAGGATTACGAGGAAATCTTGGCTTTGTTGATATATGGTTTGGTGATATTCCCTAATCCAAACCAACTCATAAAAGTGAATGTTGTCAACATTTTCCTCACTCGTAACCCTGTGCCTACTTTGCTTGGAGATATTTTGCATTCTCTTCACACTTGTACTATGAGGAAGCGAGGGACTCTTATGTGTTGCATACATTTGCTATCTAGGTGGCTTATTTCTCACCTTCCCCGATCAATAGTGAAGAATGAACAAGGTTTGAGGTGGTTTCAAAGGATGACGTTGCTCTCTCATTCAGATATCTATTAGTGTTCCTGATCTCTAAAAGATGTTACTGTCATTGACCGCTGCGAGGAATTCCCTAATGCTCCACTCCTTGACATTAGGGGAGGTATTACCTATAACCCTTCTCTAGCTTTATGCCAATTTGGTTATGATCGAAGAGATGGTCTTTATGACATGCTTATTCAGGGTATTGTATTCGATTACGAGAACAATTTTCGAGGTTATCGTCAAAGATTTATACATGCTTGGAGCATGGTAAACAAGATTGATAACAAGACTTTAGGACAAAAGAATTCCTTCCCTTTGGGAGTCCTACCTCAAATGAGTACGAGCTTGCGCTCAAAACCTCATGATGCCATATCCAACTGTTCTACCAGTGATTATAGAGCCTGTTGTCAAAGAAGACATTTCTCGCACCATCCTCCTTTCAGACATGCCCACTGACCTTGAAGAATTGCAGAAGTCTTGGATTCAACTCAAGGAAGAACATGACACCTTTGAAATTCAATTCTATGCAAGTGAAAAGAAAGTGTTGGAGCTCACAAAGTAACTTCACGAGGAGCAAAGTCTTAATGCATACATCGACGTGAAGAGAAAGCGTCTGTGGGAGACTTGAGTCTTAGGTTTTAGAAGTTCATATTGTTGTCTCTTTGAGACCCTTTTGTTTTCATTGTAAGCCTAAGAGGCAATTGTAATCTCGAGCTTACTAATAAAAATCTTTGTTTTTGTCTCCTCTCGGTTAGCAAATTTAAATCTCCTAAAAGTCCTTGAAAACATTGCATCTACATATCATGCATCATTTCAGAAACAGATTTTCCAATACATATTTTTTCATCTACTTACTGTTTATTTTAGTATAAGATACCCCTCGAACAAACTTTTAAGGATCTCCAGGCTCAGCATGCACAATTTCAAGAGACTCTTCTGAATTTGGCCAAAGGGCAACAAGAGATGATGACGCTCCTCGCCAGGAAAAAGAAGACTAAGAAGCCGACTATTATCCTCAATATGGGGAGAAGATTTAAAGATCATGCTCAACTAGTTCAAGTGGATGATGTTTCCTCTGAGGAAGACGACAACCAAGAGGAGGATTGTAGAAGTGTCAGGGGTGAAAGTAGAAATAACCAGGATTCTGAGAATATTCCTGAAGATGAAGACTATTCCGATGAACAATACCCTCTTGCAGATAACAAGTACAAGCAGTTGGAAGACCGTCTCAAAGCTATGGAAACCTAGAAAGTGCATGGATTGGATTCTGGAGAACTACGTCTGATCTCGGGGATGGTCATCCCTCACAAATTTAAGGTCCCTATCTTTGATAAATATGATTGAGTCTCTTGTCCCAAACTTCATCTGAGGTCGTATGTTCGAAAAATACAACCTCATACCGCTGACAGGAAATTATGGATTCATTTCTTTCAATAAAATTTATCTAGTACTCAACTTGAATAATTCTACCAATTGGAAGGAACCAACATTCACACGTGAGAAGACTTGACTGCTAGTATTATATTAATACTACTAGCATTATTTTTATTTGATTTTTTAATCGATGCAAGTTCAAATGAGTTACTTTTCGCCCATCCGATTCAACAAAAATGACAGTAAATATTCAACCATAAAATGAACCAAAACATACCATATTAAAGCATATCCAATTCAAAATTACACCTATTCAATCATGACTATATTTTCATATAAAACATTAACATCAAACACATTTACTACTAAAGAATTATAAATATAAAGCACATTGTAAAAACGTATCTACATCTACAACTAGTAACTATACAATTGCACGTGCGTCCTATTTTCTCCATCTCACATCTCAATGCTATAATTATATAATTGTATGAACATACATCGCCACTCTTACTCTATTTATCAGACATACTAAAAAAAACGTTAATCAACTAACTAACTTTACATATTTTACTCTCTATAGTAAGAAATAATCTTAGTTAAATTTGTTTCTAAAAACAAATTACGGAAAGAAAACTTAACCTAATTACTTAGTCAACTTTTAATTGAAAGGGTCCATATATGGATAATGAATCTCATGAAGGAAAAAAGAAGAGCATATTTGCATATAAGGACAAAAGATGGAATAAAAAAAAAAAAAAAAAGGAAGAAATGGACAAGATAGTAATTTGGAGAGAGTATATATTGATGCTCAAATGTGGATTAGTGGGTATTATCGAGCAGCTTTTGTTGTTGTTTTTGTGAAGAAAAGTTGAAATATAAAAAAGAAGGGGTTGGGATTGGGAAGGCGAGTGAGGGATTCACGCTGCGTCTGTTCTTTGTTGGATCTCTCATTCCGTATCCTCCCATAGCCTCACCTTAAGGTTAACCATTATTAGTCTCTCTTTTCTGTTTTGTTTCTCTCATTTTTCATTTTTAGGGTTCTGTTTTGATCTCGTTTTTCATTCAGATCTGAAACTCCAGAGTCGTTTCCATGGCTTCCAAGCGCATCTTGAAGGAGCTCAAGGACTTGCAGAAGGATCCACCTACGTCCTGCAGCGCAGGTAGCTTTTTCTTCTTGTTGTTTTGGATGTTGTTTGATGTGATTGATGTTGAGTGTTGATTTGGTTGTGTTTTTTGTTTGTTTATAGGTCCGGTTGCTGAAGACATGTTTCATTGGCAAGCAACTATTATGGGTCCGGCGGATAGTCCGTATGCTGGAGGTGTTTTTTTGGTTACCATTCATTTTCCTCCGGATTATCCTTTCAAGCCTCCTAAGGTAATGGATAATGGATGTGAATATTATGGTTTGTGAGTTATAGGTGTTGAGTTGTTTATTGTATGTTGAAAATGTTGATGATGTTTGTTTATTATACCAGGTTGCATTCAGGACTAAGGTTTTTCATCCCAATATCAATAGCAACGGTAGCATTTGTCTTGATATCCTGAAGGAGCAATGGAGCCCTGCACTGACCATCTCTAAGGTTTTGTTTTGCCATTTTTCCCTTTAACTTTTTCCGCCCATCGATATTTATGCTCGAGTAGTATGTTAAATTATGATATTGATATTTCCATAAAGGTATAGAGTAAAGACGAAAGATAATTTTTTTGGGAAAAATACCAAAAGGAGGAAACCATTTATAAAACATTTATGGCTCATATTTTTGTACTGGGCTTGCAATGTTATTGTTATGTCCGTTGTAGTGGTTTGCCTTGTATGCATCTATGTATGTATGCTCTCTTTGTGTGAAGTTTGAATCTTCCAAGTCTAAGTATTGTTTAGTTGTTTTATTTAATTTTATATCTTTTGGCCTAAGTCCAGTTGCTACCCTGAAATTGTCTTATGAATATGGAGCTGCTGCCCAGCCTCCTCATTTTTCTCTCATCCTTCATTTTATTGGATTCAAAAATTGCACTCATCCTTCATTTTCTTAACTGAAGTGGCGCACTCATCCTTCATTTGAGCTATATACTTTTTCCTCCCTTTTGAAGTTGCATTTAAATATATTTCCTCCCTTTTGAAGTTGCATTTAAATATATTATACATACCTGACCTCTTTTATTTTTTCCATCTTTGTTGTGTTCTTTGTAACTTCTAGTCCTTCATTACATTGTCTCCCTCCCACATTATTTTATTAATCTGCTTGTCTGGATGATCCATATTTTCTGAATTTGTGCTGGTTTCTTGTTCTTCTTTGCAAGCTTCTCTGGATGATCGATACTTTCTGGATTTGTGATGGTTTCTTGTTCTTCTTTGCAAACTGCAGCAGATCGTCTAACTGCAGATTTTGCCGCGTTTTTTTACTAGTTCAACGAGTTTTTTTTTTTGTATGGTTATTGAGTAGGACAGTTTCTAGGCTCCTCAGATTTGGATATAGATCCTATCTTCTGACTCTCTTATATTGGATTGGATTTTATCACAAATTTTGAAGTACAAGCCTTTATTATGCCACCCAAGGTCACTATTGTGATGATTTGGCTTATAATTTATTACTTTCTTAAATATACTATACATGTGATTCATTCACTATGTATGCTGCTAATATTTTTTTCCAAAGGTGTCATGTAAGTACTGCAAGATTTTTTCACCTCAGTTTCTTCAGGCTGTGTTTGTTTTGGGGGTTGAAGAAGGAAATCATATTATCTAATCTCAGATTTTCATTTGATTTAATCTCACACTCGATCTTGACAACCTTGTTAGTTACTGCCAGTTGGCCTCTATTGAGACTGTTATTTGTCTTGTCTTGCCGCTGCTATAGCCGCAACTCTAATATGCGATGCCACATCTGGAAACTTGTGCCCACCAGCTCATCCTCCATGCTATTGGCAGCTAATGACATCCTCGGGGGATGCTATAAGCTATTTTCTTATGCTCTTTCAAATACTTAAGTATTAATGAAATAAGTTAAGTTCATAAAAAGCTCTTCCAAATGCCCCTAAAACCCAAACTTGCATACATCCCTAAAATAGAGCTATGGTGGTGTTCTACTACATCTTGTATCTCTATGCAGTAACCACTTGGCTGCCTCTATTTCCATGGCTTTGTCCACAATGTTAGAACATTGGGTAGAATCACAGCTCTACCCAGCCTTTAGTCCTCTACCATTGTCTCTTTAACTGGTACAGCTTACATGGTTTCACTATTTCCATTCATTCCCCTGTATGTAAAGGAAATTGATTTTTAGTTGTGGCCGGTTGGTCTATCTACAGCCTAAGTGTCAGCATAATTAGGTAGAGACTGGTTGGTAATTTTAATTCTGTCTTACTATGTAGTGTAAGAATTTAGGATCTTATTCTTATTCCAACATTGCCATCAGTCTCCAAGCTTTTGTATACAATTGATCACTGTCATTTATTGAATGTGGAATTCATTTCTCTATGCCTATATATCGAAATGATTTTTAAAGTAAGTTCTATAATTATAGTTATGTTTTGCTTGGCATACCAGGTACTGCTTTCTATCTGCTCACTGCTGACTGATCCAAATCCTGATGACCCTCTTGTACCGGAGATTGCTCACATGTACAAAACCGACAGGACCAAGTATGAAGCAACTGCACGCAGCTGGACTCAGAAGTATGCCATGGGCTGATTTGGAGTTTTAGACCATGTATAAATAACATTTATGAAAACTGTTTCTGGTTTGCTTATGTTTCTTGTGGTGAGATTATGTTTGTTGTGGGAAAGAAAAGGTGGTGTTGTATTTGATAAGAAAAGTAAACTTTGTTTTCAAGCAGTGATGTGTTTGTCATAATGGAAAGTCATGAACAAGATGTTATATCCCTTGTTGTAACTTTCTCTATGAAGCAATGTAGAAATAGTGAGTGTCACATAACAACGTTGCTTGTTATGATGGCACTTCTTCTGTCAAATCATCTATAATGATTTGTTTAATTTTTCATTGACAAGTTGGTAATATGCAAATGTTTTCCAAGATTGTGATGTTTTGTTTTCAGATTAATTAGATTAATTTTTCACAGCCAGTGATAATCTTTTATAATTAGGCTGTTATTTCAGACAACTTGGTAATTTTGCTCTGAGGTTGTCATGTTTATTCTTAGATAAATTTGAAAAAACTAGGATGAGATTGTTGGTATTTCAAAGTGACTTTCAAAAATTGATTTACTAACAGATCATTAGGTGCATTAAAAAACACACTTTATTGTTATCAATTTATCATACATGACTAATGATATTAACATAGTCCGGTCAATAAATCTGAGTGGGGATTTATCTTTAGATTCTTTTCAAATCTAACTGAATTAACTATGATCTATCTATATAATTTGATCAACAAGTCATAAGGCTTGAAAAAGTTACAACAAGAGTATGATTTACTATGAATATACTTTATCGTTTTATGATCTGAGTGGGATTTATCCTTGGATGCTTTTCAAATCTACTATGAATATAAGGCATGTTTATTTTTCCTTGGAGTTATGTTTTTTTAAAGAAATTCTTGCATGGAAAACATACCTAGAATTTTTTTAATTTATTTAAATTTTGATTTTTGATTTGGATTCATAGGGTAATTGTGATAATGAAGTAGAGTGAAAATATTGTATTTATTTTTTAATTAATTACACATTTATGATTGGTTGTGTGTAAAACTAATTATATTGTCTACTTATGAATTTTCGTTTTTTTATAATAAGTATATTTAAAAATTATTTAAGAAATAAAAATAGGAGTAATTTATATATGCGTAAAAGAAAGTTATAAATTTATCATATTTTTATTGAAAAATAATAAAAATCACACCTAAAAAATAATACTTTTTGTCCATTTCTTATTTCTCTTTTGGGTTTAAACCATCCTTTACAAAAAAAAGAAAAAGAAAAATTAATTAAATATAAATATTCATCAATTAAAATGATTAAATTAGTATACTTTATATATTTTGTATCGTTAATTAAAATATTGTATCACTACTAAAAAGCGCGGTATCTTTTATTTTTATTTTTATTTACATGCGAAATTTCCGTAAAAGCAATTTTTACTGTTAATTTATAAAATAATATATTTTTATCATAAATTTAGTTGGTAGAAAATTCCGCTAAAATACATGAATTTTGATGCATATTTTATAAATAATATCTGAGTTTTCTTGCAGATATAGTTGTGACTGTTGCAGCAAGAAACAAGGAATACTAACATAGTTATAGATTAAAATTATAAAACAAGTATATAATAATATTTTATTTTACTTTTTAAAAAATTTAAAAATAAAATATTCTTTTAATAAAAATAGTAAATATAAATATTTTCTAAAAATAATAATTGAGTTTGTTTTAATTTATTCAGAAATACTTTTTTTCTTCTTCATTTTACTACTTCAAGGAGTTTTTTTAGTTATTTTTTAATTTTAAATTTAATTCTAATTTTTAAAGAAAATTTTAGTTTTATTGATATATATTTTTGAGATTTTATAATTATTAAAAAAAATTTATAAAGCAAAAGTTAAAATAATTTATTAATAATAAATAATTTAAAACTAACAATTGGATTAATCTATTTTATTTGTCTTTGTGAAAATTAGAATTATAAATTATGGACAAATAATTTAATAAAAAATATATTTTTTTAAACATTTTTATGAAATGTGGATAAGAATTATGCAATAGAGTTCGAACTCTGAAATTATCTTATGTTGAACAAATGTTATCAATGAACCATTGAATTAAAGGAATGACATATTATCTATTAAATTCACGATTTATTGAATTCTCTTTCATTCACGATTCTATGCTCCCATCTCAAACCCTAATTTCAATCAAAATTATAAGTCTAATAGAAAATCCCCTGCCTCACAATTGTGTCTCTCCCTTTGCTCAGCTTCTCAATCGGAAAACCATGCCCCTCGTTTTGAAACAAATTTGTAGTGAATTGATGGAAAATGTGTTTGGATTATTAAGGAGATTGATTAGATAATAATCACAATTGTCACTAGGAGTAACAACTTATGAATGCTACTCAATGACTATAAATCAAGGTTGCATACATAGAATTTTAGAGAGAAGAAATATTTGTTATGAATTCAATATATTTATTCAATTCACTTAGATAGTTATATATAAGCAAACTTGTAACAAATTCTACCTAGTATTAGACATAAATAGAGAAAATAGTAACTAATTTTACTTAGAAGATAAAATCATTGCGAAAAAATAAATAACATAAATGAAAATAACTAATTTAGTAAGATAATGAATTGTTGTAACAATACCCCATCTCCAACCACACTCATGTCCTTAAGGATGAAAATTTGGAAATTGGCGAAGTAAAACATCATAAAACTTCCAAGTTGCTTGTTTTAAAGGTTCATCTTTCCATTTAACCAAGACTTTCGTGGCTACCACACTGCCACACTGCCACACATAACCATTTTTCGATCCACAATAGCTTCGAGAATGCAAGGAAAGAGCTAACCCTCTGTAGGTAAGTGTTGAATAGTCACAACACTAGGATTGTGGCAAAGTTTAAGCTTAGATACATGAAAGATAGTGTAAATATGTGAATAAGAAGGTAAGTCTAACTGATAAGCTATTTGATCAATTTTACCCAATACTCGATATGGATCATAAAATTTGGAAAAATTCTTGTGATAGTGTGCTGAATGCATGAATACTTGTTTGCAGAGATGAATTTTGAGTTAAATATGGTTTATAAAAGATTAGAACGAGGAAAAATCATTGGTCGCCCAAAGAGCATGACTAAGTACTCAAAATAACCATTATGAGTCTTAAATGCGGTTTTAAGTTTCTCTTTAATGGTCATTCTGACTTGATGATACCCTGACTGCATATCGAGTTTAAAAAATATTGTAGCACTTTCCAACTTATCCATTAAATATTTAATAAGAGGAATGGAAACATGTCCTTAATTTTGGGTTGGTTCAATTTTTTATTTTGGGTTGGTTCAATTTTGGGTGTGCAATTGACGATGGATTAAACATTCTGACATACATTTGTATGTGATATACTAAGCTAACCAAGAAAATGCTAAGGGAGTGTTTAGGGATTAAGTTGACTTGGATTAAACCTAATTCAAAACGGTATATGTAATCTTGTATCTTACCAGATTGTTTGACCTAAAATAAAGAAGACAAATGATCTTCAAAAGCATCATCGAATCAAGCAGTAACGTCTAGTAGAAAAATTGGCCACACTTATAAAGCCAATTGCGAATATTTTTTCTATTGAAACGAGGAAAATACACCTTTGAGATATGAGTTTTGATTGTTCTCTAAGTGACGATTGTTAGAATTTCGTACTAGAGATCCTCCGCCCTCTTACATACATGATTAAGTTAAAATCATGGTACACTCACTACTTATCCATGCAATTAGTAATGTAGGACGCCAACTAGTCAAATTGAAGATGTATTTCAGTGTGACGGTCATTAACTTTTTTTTCTAGATCGACGTGAGAGTCATCAACTTTTTTTCTAAATCAGAGATATACCGAAAGCATGTAGTAATCTTGATATAAATGACTGAGTGATACTAATTGAAATATATTTGTAATGAATGGAGAGAAAGTGTGTTTGGATTATTAGAGAGATTGATCCAATAAAAATTACAACTCTCACCATAAACAACAACTTAATGCTCCTTAATGACTAAAAATCAAAGTTGTATGGAAGGAATTTTAAAGAGAAAAAAATATTTATTATAAATTTAATATATTTATTCCATTTAGTTAAATACTTATATATAAAAGTTAATAATAAACTCTATCAATCATTACATAAAACTAAATAAAAACTAATTTTACTAAAATGATAAAATCATTCCATAAAAATAAGAAAATAACATTTAACTAAAATTAAAATAACTATACTATCGAAAAAAATTAAAATAACTAATTTACTTTTACTAACCTAATGAATTGCTGCAAGACATTTTGAGTTGCTGAGCCTGAGGTTTTTCCTTCCTGCTTCACTGCATTTTCAACCATGGCAGAAGCAGCAACGTCTTCAACGAAAAAGGCTAAAAGGAAAAACGGAAACCTAAAAAGTCAGGATCCTGAACTCGAACGCCTCGAATCACTTCCATGGAACTCATCTCTCCCTCACCACGACGAACAAGACGACACCACTTTTTCACTCTTCACCGGCTCCAACGAACTCGAAGGAGGTTTCTTACATTCTTATAACACATTTCATTTTACTATAAACACCATATCCCTCATATTCACCCTCATATCTTCGTCAAAATTTATACCATACGCATCACACATTTGTTACTTCTGTTGATTGTATTCCGCCCGCCAAGTGTTCGATGAATTGGTTGATTATATTTTGCTTGCAGGATTTCTTTCACTTGAGGAGATTGATGAAGCCGAGTACGGTTTAAATATTCCCGATCCTGAAAACCATGACAGGAACCACAATTCTAATCAGAGCAAGAAGTTGAGTAAGCAGAAGCAAGATGGTACTTGTAGTGATGGAGAAACGTTGAATGATGAGAGCATCAAGTCTAAAGTGAAGAAAAAGAAAAAGAAGAAAAGCAGGGATGCAAAAGAAAACCAGAATGTTCAGCGTTTGGATACTGGTATTTTTTGTTTGAAAACTATACTTTAACGTAGGCTC